CACTGCACACATTAAAAAACAGTCTGATTTTTCTTCGGGGTGCTGGGCCAGTTACCTACTTCATTACCCAGCATATTAAAATAATTTTTTAAAACTCAATTTTTTTTGTCTTCAGTTTTTCTGTCTGGCCCTGCCGGCCTTTCATTTGTCATATCTTATTATCATATTGTAATTACTCTCGGATCACCATTCTAGCAATGACGGAACAAGACAAAAAAAGTCAGCGATAAATGTCAACAGTTGGTCGCCCATTGTCATATGCACATAATAATAAATCGTTTACTTACAAAGGGATGCCGCCAACCGCACTGGAATTCATTCTTTTGATATATACGGTCTGGGCTTGTTGATGTATTATATCCCAAATGATACATTAATAAAGTTTTCGATGTGACAAGTGTTTGCGAACACTCTTCACAGCCTTTTCCTGTACCCAAAAGACAATTTTGAAGTATAATGTCGGGCGGAGTAAGGATTTCTTGTAACAACAAATCTGAAGAAATAAGCGCTTGTTTCCGCTTCATTATCAGGCCACTATAATAATAAATATTTTATGTTAAGTAACGTTAAATAAATAAATAAATAAATAAAATAGATTCTAACCTTCCACCGGTTCCAACAAACACGCCACAATGATCCGGTGATTTCACATTAGCTTCATACACAACAGTAAGCAACTCTGCCCATTTGTCTTCACATAACGGGAAATCGTCCTCCACAAGTGCAACATAGGTGGTCTTGAAATTCTCGGCAACCAATTTCATTGCCTTGGAGACGTGTAGTCGCTGATTCAACTCGTACCCATCTTCTTGTACCCATTTCAAGTATCTCTGTGCCTTCAAATCAGTCGAATATTTCTTCTTTGCCTGATCAAAGACGGTGTGATTGCTGAAATGAGTATATATTATCATCTGCGTACGAGTATAGAAAGAATCCATGGACGGATCGCTCTCAAAATTATTAAGATATGAATCAATAGTCCTAATGAGATAATCCGGATCTCCGGGCCGAGGCGCTGTCATCACAAGGAAAGATAAGAGATATCTATCCTTTTTGCCAATTTCAATTTCATTGAGTGCTGCTGGTTGAACAAAGTGTGGGCGAGTGTAACAGAAATTGCAAAATAATAGTATCGCGAAAGTGACCAACAAGATAATGGAACTTTTTTTGAATCCCGACCATGTTCGTTTTAAAACGCCTCCTGTACTTTTTCCGTAATTGGAAATTTTATACATGGGAAGGAGACGATCGAAAGCATTGTCATAATTCGGTGTCTCTCTTGTCTGTGTTGTGTGAATGGCGATTGTGCCGATGAGACCGGTGAGAAGACCAGTGACTGACCACCATAGAATGTTCTTCTGAGTATAATTGAGCATGCACATGAAAAGCTGGAGCGTTATTTTTCGCAACGTTATTTTTGTGTGTCTTTTATCACCATAGTAAAGGATGTATTTATCGTCGATACTAAGCGACTGAAGAACCAGCAAAGAGAATAAGAATGGCGCAATGCCTATCAAAAAAAAAAAAAGACAGGAATGTTAAACGCGAGTTAATTCCAAGCCCAATGTTTTCAAACATTGTAACAATGTAACAATGTAACAATGTCCAACACTGATGACGTCACGAACGTAGAACTTAATTGGTCAACCTACCTTGATTGCACTCGTGTAACGAATCGCTAAAGAACAAACTAGGTATTGACCAACCGGTCGACCTTGAGAAAATAAACCCAATTGCCTGTCTCAGTACACAAACACCAAGCATTAAACTAGTGGTTGTACCCAAAAACTTTTTCGTTCCTCCGAGCATCGAAGTCAACGATTCCTCGAATAGACCCAAAGTCAATAAATTAGATGCTGCTAATAATACATTTGACATTTGCAAGGAAAACAGGAACGGAGATAGTAGTAAGTTTTCAATCTCCAATCGATGAATGACAAACGATGGTGCCGAACATTTCAACGAGATAAACCCGGTCCAGTTGAGCATCGATATTAGAATGGAAAGAAGGATTATATAACGAGTTATTATAGGAAGAGGCCATAAAATGAGAAGTTTGTATTTCTTTTTGTTGTGTTTGCTACGCGATCTTCCGTCAGCGTAATTTGGGAATAATGGTCGACTAGCCGGCAGGTAGAGAGTATAAGATGCAGACGACCGCCGTCGTTTTGGATGCTTCTTATTTAAGTTTCCGTGACAAGACTTTACTGAAGACGTTGCATGCAGGGTCTCACTTGAGGTAACTGGAATCACATTAACAAATGTCCCCTGAGCACCCATTCCATTTCCAACTCTGTCGTTCTTTCCGGTGGCGAGATCCGTATCGGCTGGCAAGGTCTCCTGCTGAGATGCAGAATAGCTACGGATGTTCTCTGTTGTGGACGGAACCAATTGTATATGGAACGAGTGTGTCGAATGCGAGTC